TTACCGCTGTCTCTACAGCAAAAAGGGAGGCATGTTGGTCCTTGGATAGTAGAGACCAAATCACAGAATGCAATCTCTTGGTTTCATTCTGTGTCTTCCCTCCTTTACACCGCTCAAGCAGCTGTGTGTCTGAAAGGCGTTCATACATTGGCAACAGCGCTTTGGCAACTCTGCTGGAAGTCTGGTACTTGTGGGTTGGTTGTACATGTCCTTGTGCCTCTGCAACTCTGTGTGTACGCCAGTTCGTAAGACCAAGGGGGCATAGCTTATGGTGAGGACCGCGCGAAGAAAGTCGTCAACGCTCGATGATTGCGCCTCTGCCGCTCCCGCTGATATGTAGCGAGTCTCCAAGTGCGCCTTAATGGTGCGATATTCGGTTGACGACGTTGCGTAAATTTTCGAACCACTGGCACACGGTTAATCAAAGTTCCCGTCGAAGCTCATCGACGCGCGGGGAACACTCCCTGATAAGAGGCGCGCTTCCACAGGCTTTGCTGGCAATGGCGACCTTTGATCTCAACGGCTGTCGGCGATTTCATCTCGGCACTCGGTAGACGGCGTTGAGCAACTTGAAGCGAGCGTACGCGGTGAATCATCGTTCATCTTGAAGCTTGTCGACGGACGAAGATCGCTTGTAGATAACGGGCGCACTTTTGCAGACTTTGACGGCAACCTTTCATCCGAACGGTAGTCGGCGATTTCATGTCAGCTACGCGAGCGAGCGCCTGCGCGTTGAGGGTCGTCGTACTCGGGGAAGCTTCGGATACGTCCTTCATTGAGCGTGTTCCGTGACGATCACCAGACGACGTGTTATCAATTTTGTCGCAGTGCGACTGTTAGATTCGTCGCTGGGTTCTTGGGGGTGACGCGGTGCAAGGCAACTTGGCATGTCATTCACGTGTCCCGTTGATTTGAGAACAGTGATTGGATATTCTTCTGCTCCCGCTAACCGCCACCTTTTTTTCACCGTATGAGGCTTCCGCTTTTGTTTTCCAAATGCGTGAGTCGTCGAAAACTTCTTTTTGAACGATTGAGATTCTATAACGGCGTGTGTGCAACAAGCGTCAAAAAACGTGCATGAAACATGGTTTTCGAGGCAGACGACCGCTGCGGCTCCTCCTCTATTGTTGTGACAGCACTCAATGGGGAGCCTCCTTGCAGCGTGCCAGCCAATCAGAGGCCCCGTTTCATAAAACGGCCCTCGGATTGCCTGTATAACTACGTGCTGTTTTTTTGCTTTTTGCACATTTTTCTTTGCCGGTGACGTTTGGAATGCATGAAAGCGGGAAGGCGAAGCGTCGACATTTCAAAGGATACCAAGATGGCGGCGATTGGTGGTGCGGGAGATGAACACTTGCTTTGTGAACTTCGGTGTTTTTGTGCAATTTTGAGCTTCTTTCTCGCCTATCGCGCTGACAAACTTATTTTTTTCGGGCATTTGGGGATGGTTTTCAGCCAAATCAGTTTGTTACGGTATAGAACAGGCACTGGAGATGCGGAAGTGAGTGACTACCGAAAATCTATTTTTTTTCGCGATCTGATCCCCGCATCCCCCCTAAAACACTAGCACTCGTTTCTCCCCTGGCAGAAAAATTCACCAGCATACATTTTCTTCGCTTCCCTTCAGGTGCTGGTAAAATCTTGCTTGCCCAATATCTTACTCTGTATGCGAAATGTCTCATGTTTCTGATTGCACCCCTACAGAAGGCTGGCAGGTTCTGTTGCATTGTGGTGCCATACCACAAACGTGAATGAACGCAAAGGTGTTGATGCACCTGTCTTTTACACCCGCCGCGGTGGTCTAGTGGCTAAAGTACTCGGCTGCTGACCCGCAGGTCGCGGGATCATATCCCAGCTGCGGCAGCTGCATTTTCGATGGACGCGAAAATGCTGTAGGCTCAAGTGCACAGATTTCGGTGCTTGGTAAAGACCCCCAGGTGATTGAAATTTCCAAAACCCTCCACTACAGTGTCCTTCATAATCATATGATGGTTTTGGCACAATAAACACCACATATCAATCAATAAATTACCTATCGTTTACTGTATTTTACAGCAATTACTTTACCTTTACTTACTTTCTTCACAAGCATACCCATAGCTAGAGGGGCAGCCTCATGACAATGATATAAGAGTCCATGCACAGAATCTGTTCAAACTATAGCTGATAGTGACGTCACAGAGGAAATCTGATGGCTGTGTCCCCCCCTCCCCCAGTCAAAGTGGTGTGAACCCATCCAGAAAAAAATTTCTGGCTATGCCCTTGCCTTCTGATGTCGGCTACCTTACACCTATTGATTAACTTCGATGGATGGATGGAAAAACTTTATTTCGTCAGAAACAACTGAGGATGATTCCGTGTTAGATGGCCATCAACGTAAGGTTGGTGGCGACCTGTGTGGCCCACTGCACGACCCTTAACTGGACGACTGGGTCTGAGGTGGTCAACACGGCCTCCCAGTGCTCAAGAGAGGGATCACTCATAATATCCACCGGCGGCGGCACTATGCTACATTCCCAAAGTATGTGATCATATGTTGCCACAGCCTGACACCAATTTGCATTGCTGCTTAATCTCCTCCGGGTACATTTTGTTCAACACGTAAGGGTTGGGAAAATAACGCGTCTGCAGTTTTCTCCAGACGCATTCCTGGGCCTTAGTCAACCGCTTGTGCGGGGGCGGATAAAACCTACGCTCTAGTTTATAATGATTTGTTATGTCATGAAAGGACACCAGCCCATCTCTCGCGGACCTCCCCAGAACTGGCGGCTCACCTACCCGGCTGACGAAACCTCGAGCATTCAGGTGAGCCGCCTCTTTCCCAGGGTTCCCAGAGTGTGCTGGTACCCAGACAATTTCTATTTCTCGAATTTCTCGTCCCGTTCCCCATGCAGAAATCGTGCGGCGGTCGCCGATATTCTACCCCTCGCCAGATTTCGGATGGCTGTCTTTGAATCACTGAAAATCAAATCTGACTGCGAATTAGTTATAGCTAGCGCTATTGCCGCTTCCTCTGCAGTTTCCGAGGAGCGGGTTTTGACCGATCCAGAGGTGACCAAGCGCCCCCGCCTGTCCACCACCACAATCACAAAAGCGTCTTTGTCCTTATATTCTGCAACATCTGTATAAACTGCCGCTTTGTACTCGCCGTACTCAACGTGTAAAACTCTGGCTCTTGCCTGCCTGCGCTGCGTATGGTGAATCGGATGCATATTTTTGGGCAAAGGTTTTATGTACAGGGCCTTATGTAACTCTCGAAAGCTCCACTAGCTTTACCTTGTCGGTTGCATTTGAGTCTTTCATAGTTCGTTGTCTCTTAATGAGATTAGCTTGTATTAGCGCAGCTGAACTTCCAACAGCAAAACTTCCAACAGAGTTGGAAGTTTACCCCCTACTTATCTAGACATCTCTGCTGTTTTTCTTCTTTTCTAGGCGAATACTACCGTATTTATTCGAATATAGGTCAACCTTTTTTTCCTAGAAATGTTGTTCATAACTAGCTATCGACCTATATTCTTGACCTAAGACTCTCGACCGATCAAAGCAACCAAAATCGCCGAGCTTACGACGTGCAACTGTCGTCACCGCTGTTCTTCAAGCAATTCTTGCTGCATATGCATGTTATATACCATAAAATCTGAAATAAAGACTACCCTTTTCCTTTTCAACTACCTAAGTAATTAGGAAAAAGCTATTGATGCAATATCCGTGCACCGCCTCTGCAAAATGCAGCCACTCTACTGCGTTTGCGATGAAACCCACGATTTCTCTAGATATTGGCCGTGAAGTCCCTAGCCCGCTACCTGTGCTTTCAGTACTGCCTGCTGGCGTGCAGCCGCATTGGCACTGGCCTGAGGCCTCGCCATTGCCGCGACGCCACTTTGTTGATTGTACGACGTGACGGGTTGACGGTTTGCTTTTGCTTTAAGCGCTGCACCGTGCTCCCTACCGGGCAGCAGAAATCAGCCGCCTTCTTCTTCTTCTAACCACTACCACTATTTCGTTGTGCACGGTTCCGACGTTGTCACGTCCGCAGAGCTACACAGGTGACTTCAAGTGCCAAGTGATACTTTTCATCAAGAACTCGAGAAATTGTGCTGTGTAGCGCGAGTTCTGTGTAAATGAGACGTTGATCAGGGGCTGGCGAAAGCAGCGGAACCACTTGTTTGTGTGCAAATTGTCGGCGCTGTGCCTTTCATGCACTAACAATCAGCAGCGGTGGCAGCAAGGACGATGTCGTTTGGGAAGTCGCGAATGCTTGCGAAGAATCCGATGACGACATCATCTTGCACATCTGACAAGATGACGACCCCAGCAGTGATCAAGGCACTGAGTTATGTAAATAAGGGTGTGCTACATTTCAAAGTCCTTATTTCTAAACTAAAAAAAAGATTGGTCGACCTATATACACATTTTTTTTTTCTCTCATAAAATACTAAAACTAGGGGTCGACCTATATTCGTGCCCGACCTATGTGAGTCGTCCATCAGAATAGTGTACTGTGTTTTTGTTATAGGCTGACTCAACGTCTTCGTAGAAGCGTTAAACCAAATGACGGCTCGATGTAGGTGCGTAGGCCTGTACTACTTTCATCTTGTACCTTTTGGTAAACTTGATTATGATACTTGCCACCCTCTCATTGATGCTGTAGTATTCCTCTATGTTGCCAGCAATATTCTTGTGTATATGATCACCCCTAGTTCTTTTCTGAACCCGTGCACCTCATAACTGTATAAAAGCAGAAACATTCGCCAGAAATAAATTGTAGGCAGTTCAGCGCTTTGTGTCTCACCTTTTCTATCCCCTCTTGTCGTATGCGCTGCTAAGCACTCTTTATCAAGTTGTACCAACACACCCCATCCTACTGTCTCTAAGTGCTCTATGAATAGCTTTTCAGTGAGTACAGTGTACCCCCATGAGCTCTCTTGTAACAATGAGCAGATGTCAAAACAAAAATGTTGCATAGGGGAGTGTAAGTGCACAAGGATTGTGAATGCCACCTTGTAGGAGGCCAGGCAGAGGCAGCGACCATCTGGTTGGCAAAAGCCACCATGGAGACATGGCTTGGCTTGGCAATTTGCTGGCTCACACGCTCCATCGGTGCACTGGCCCTTGGCTACTGGCTCTTCACACAGTGGGCCCTGCACAAGATCACGGTATAACTCATGAATGTAACAAAAACATCTGAAAAGGTCATCGCAGAGCATATATTTTTCACAGATTAATGGGTACCTGGCATAGACTACTTTGAATGCCCCGTTCAGAACGACAAAGGTCAGAAACAAATTACAGCATATTCATGGGGTGAATGATGATGAGTGGGCGAAGGTTCAGAAGTTTCATCGGTACGCATGAATCTTCCGAGAATTTTGCCCATTCGATCATCATATAAATACAGCGAGCATGTGCTGCAGCCGTTTTCCGAGCCCTCCACTCCCCTGCTTGGTCTTCGACGCTCATACTCGAAGCACATAAACTGCCGGCGAAAAAGGAAGCTCGCCAAGAGCGTACGCATTTTAAAGCAAGAGCAAACACGGCCTCCTATCACACGAGAACATGCGGCGAGCGCCATCTCGTATTTAATTCACCTCTGCCACGCGAGCGCCATCTAGTGATCACTCACCACACTATGCACTCTCGTGCATTTTTAATGGAGCGAGCGTCGCAGTGCCATCAACACTAGAAGTGGCTACGAGAACGCGGGACCTGCATACACCTTAAAAAGCTTTGCCCCTTATAAAAAAATTCACAGTTTTGGCACAAGGCGAAGCAATGCGATAGCAATTCATTGCGCTGTTATACAAAGTAAGGCTAAGAAATTTAGGAACCATATGATATGTATTAAACAAGGTCGATTGTGCTTGAATTGACAGTAATGCAACAACCACAATATGTAAATAGGTTTTGTTGTGAATAGTTGACTGCGTGATATCAGACAGGAGGCAAAGTCTAAGTTTTGCATAAAAAAAATGCAACAAGCTTCTGGTTTTCACGTTGAAGTACATTAACGTTGAAGTCTCCAGTGACTATCACCGGCACGTCCTTTTCGCCTCATAAAAATGGACGTCGTCTCTCGTTATGCCTGTTAAAGGAGACGCTATGTGCGAGAAATTGGCGATAAATCTGCGATAGTAGGCGCAGAGGCCAAAAAAATGCCTCACAGCCTTTTTATCCATTGGCACTAGAAATTTTCGGACGGCATCGATCTTGTTGGGGTCCCGACGAACACCTTCATGGCTTACCACATGACCTAAGAATCAGAGTTCCTTGAAACCGAAATGACAATTCTCAGGTTTCAGCATCAGGCCGGCTGACCGTATTGCTCAAAATACTAATAGCAGCCATCTTAGATGTTCCTCAAATGCTGCTGAGAAAACAATGAGGTCGTCGAGGTATACCAGACATGTCTGCCACATAAGGCCTGATAGGACGGTATCCATCAGTTTCTGAAATGCTGCTGGAGCTGAGCACAATAGGAAGGGCAAGACTTTAAACTCATTAAGCCCGTTAGGCATAACAAAAGCAGTCTTTTCTCTGTCTCGCTCATCGACCTCGATTTGCCAATATCCGCTTTTCAGGTTGTGGGGATCTGAGGCGCGCCCGCGACCATTTCGCGGGCATTCCGCCACACGGTCACACCCTTTTGCTTTTCTGCTCTGTTAACACCACGTGGCGATAGATGGCGCCACGTGCCGAGGGAGCGCTCTCTTCTCCGTGGTCGGCGCCGGGTAAGCACGTGTTTTCTTTCGTCCACGTCCCCTTTGGGAATCGCCGGACTGTAGCCTGCCTGGGGTGGCCTTGGGCACCTTGGCAAGCGTGTTTACTTGAGTGCTAGCTTCGGTAGCGTACGCTAAGCCCACAGCGGTGCCTAGTGCTTGAAGTGGTCGCACCACAATGAGCCGCACTTGCCGTAGGCCTACGCGTACGAGGTTTGCCCTAACACTTGCCACCAGGCCCATTGGCCATCGTGAGAGTGCGCAGCATAGCCGCGAGGGACCTTTTCCCGACCGGCGTGTCAAAGCTCGCCATTGCCAGCTGCGACGTGCTCGCGGTTTTCCCCTTATTGTGAACGTCCGCGTGCGGGTGCCTTTGCTACCCGCGTCCCTGGAGCGGACGTTGTACTGTTGTGCGGGGTGCCGCCAGAGGCAATAAAGTGTTGTGTATTTGTGCATTAGAACACTGTCTATTTGCCGCGCCGCGCTAAACGCCTTATTAGTTGAGCGCGCGCGGAGCGGTGCGCTACACGCGAGTAAACGGAGTAGCGGCCCTGTGGCTCGCTAAGCGTGAACCCGCGGTGATCGTCCGCTGCGGTTAGTAGCGGGGTCACCATACTGGCGCCCAACGCGGTATTAAAGGCTCATTAAGCCTTTGGTTAGTCTTAGCGAGTCAGTTTGCCTGCGCGATTCGGGCTCGTCGCAACGTGTCTGCTTCGTGGCATGCCGCGTTGCACAAAGAGGCCACCGCCTCTATCGACGGGCGCCCTTCGGCGCTCGCCGGTGTCGTCACCCCTTTTTGTGGTGAATACACTCCTACGTGGTAGCTGACGCGCTATCTACGTAGCTGACGCGAATACACTCCTACGTGGTAGCTGACGCACTATGGTGCAGTTGGTGCAGGAGTGAGATCATTGCACAATGAAAAGTGAGACTTCGGCAATGCAGGCTGTGCATTTTAAGATGACGATGACTTAGAATATTGAGCACATGGCACTAACAAAGGTGGGAATGCCTTCCAGCATTTTGGAGCAGCCATTGAAGCAGGCAAGATCTGCTTTTGGAGCAGCTACCTCTGTGTTTGGAGCGCGCACAAGCTTCCCAGGACACTCACAGAGGAAGAAAATTTAGCTTCAACTTACTTTAGTGTTCCCTCAGTTTACATAATCATTTATACAGAAGCAGAGCCCACGAAAATAGGCACAATAAATAAAGAAAAGTAGGATTATGGACAGACATGGTGACATAAGATAGTTAAGCATATTGCACCAACAAGCTGGCTGTAGCATGAAGTTCATAGCAGCGCACCCACGCATAGGCGCTGTGGTGACCTCGCTACTCACCATAATGAAAGGTCACTGCGGGTTCAGGCTTAGCGACCGACAGGGCCATGTCTCCTTCACCTGCTGAAGTGTAGCACACCACTCTGCGCGTGCCCGAGTAGCAAAGTCTAGCGTGGCACAGCAAAAGAGACAGTGTTGAATCATAGTAGCATCACACAAACAATTTATTGCCTTTGGCGGCACCCAAAACCACAATACAACGTCCCCTCCCGGGACGCGGGAAGAAAAGGCTCCTGCACACGGACATTCACGATAAAGAGAACAGTGCGAGCACGTCACAGCTGGAAATGGCGAGCTTTGACACGCCAGTCGAGGAAAAGTCCCTCGTGGCTATGCTGCACACTCTCGCGGTGGCCACCGGGCCTGGTCGCGAGAGTTAGAGCAGATCTCGTACATGTAGGCTTACAGGAAGTGCGGCTCGGTGGGGTGCGACTACATCAAGCACTAGGCACTGCTGTCTGGCTTAGCGTACTGTACGGAAGCTAACACACAGGAAAACACGTCTGCCAGGAATGCCTAGGCACCCAGGCAGGCTACAATCTGGCAATTTCCAAAGGAGACCAAGCGAAGGAAAAATACGACCATACCCAGCGCCGGCCAAGGAGGAGCGAGTCTTCTTGGTGCGCACGTAACTCGGCCTCGCTGATTGTAGCTGTCTTCGAGAATACGCGCCGCGCCCATGCACGGTGCCACGCCCCATTACCAGAGCACGGGAGAAGGAAAGGGAGCGGCCGTATAGCAAAAATGCCCGTGAAATGGTCACAGGCGCACCAAAAATCCATAAATCCTCCTTTTCTTAATTCACCCAATATACCGGTCTGCAAAGACGGCCGGTCATCGCCCATGCAAGCAAAGACATCATGTAACAGCTAGCCTTAGCCCAGCCCTGCAACTCCTGTGGAAGAAAAAAAAATGAAACAACAAACAATACACTTGAGAAATACAAAACATATATTTGGCCTGCATAGTTAGGGGGGGGGGGGGGGGGGCTCCGTGCCCTAAAGTTGGAGTTGGTCTACGTCCATGTTGGCGACGCTGTTCATAGGTGGCTCGTCGATGGCGGTGGCAGCCCCAACAGCAGTGCCGCAAAATGGAGGTTCCTCTCCCCCCCATATGCCGTCGGCAAAGAGCTGCCATCATTCTTCGAGCACTGTCAGAGCGGAACTGGTGCCTGCGTCTCTCTTCTTTGTGGTGGCCATCTTCTTTGTGGCCGCCTTTGTCTGCGCCACGTGCAGATCGCCCTTGAAGTGGCACTTGAAGTAGATGGCCACTCCGCACATGGTGCAGAAGCTCCATTGCAGGAAGTTGGGCACCCGTGGCTGCCTCGTAGACATCTGGCACCGTGCAGCCTCGGAACGGCAACAGGACACGGTTTAAGGAAGGTCGCGTCAGATCCATCACTATGCTTTCCAAGGCGCATCACTTACAAAAAAGCGCGGCACCTCCTGCCTCTCCTGCCGCGTCTACATGCCCATGCTGCGTTTTTGTGTCTTGAGATGCAGTGGTGGCGTCAAATCGTGGATTCACATCGCCGGGGTCCCTGTTTGGCAGTTCTCCTTCATCTTTCCCGGCAACTAAATTTTTGGCTGGGGGACATCATTCTTGCTTGAAGCCGCAGCATACGTAGAAAGAAAGTGGCACACCGCTGACAGTCTCAAACAGTCTCCGTCATCTACTCAAGCGTAGCACACCGCTACGCACCCACTAGACTGACAAATCATTAAGCGTGGCGTGGCAGACAGACGGTGTTCGATCTTAACAGTAACACACAAACACTTTATTGCCTTTGGCGGCACCCCAAACAAGTGTCTGCCGGGATGCAGAGAGCAAAGGCTCCCGCCGGCAGACATTCACGATAAAAAGGAGACTGCGAGCACACCGCAGCTGGCAATGGCAAGCTTTGACACGCCGGTTGGGAAAAGGTCCCTCCTATGCTGCGCACACTCTTGCGATGGCCACTGGGCCTGGTCGTGAGGGTTAGGGCAAACCTCATATGTGTAGACCTCCGACAAGTGCGGCTTGGCGTGGTACGACCACGTCAAGCACTAGGCCCGGCTGTCAGGCTTAGCATACGGTACTGAAGCTGACGCACAGGTAGACACGCCCGTCGGGGATGCTTAAGCGCCAAGGCGAGCTACAATCTGCCAATTCCTTAAGGGGATGCGGACGCAAAAAAAACACGTGCTTGCCCAGCGCCAAGAGGACCCAGCGCCAGCAAAGGAGAAGAGAGTCTTCCCGGCGCACATGTGACTCGGCCTCGCTGATTCTCGCAATCCCTGAGAACACGTGCCGCACCCGCGCGTTACGTGCTAGAAAAGGGAGCCGCCATACGGCAGAAATGCTCGTGAAATAGTCGTAGGTGCGCCATCGATTCCCACAGCACACACAGAGACACATTTAAAGCTACTGTTACAATCAAACCTCGTCAATATGTACTATATTCATGGTGAGGACCTGCGGAGAACATGGCTAACTACACACAAAATGTAGTCTGCATTAACGACCAAGTACATAAGCGTGCGCAGGGTTCCCTCTCCCTATCATGTCAATGTATGGGGCTGGCCTTGCCTGCCTGCACACCAATGACCAAGTACCAATTAGCATTTCTTTAATTACATGTACCAACACCGCTAAAGAAGGAATAAATATAGTGCAACAGCAAATCTTGTCTAGAGTGCCCATCACGAAGCCATTTTTTTCTTTCTGCCAATGCTCAGAAATTATTGGCATTCTCGCACGATTGTCTGATGGCACGCGGTGGCAACACATTAGTGCATTTCAAAACTACCGCAAAATCTGGGATACACAGCCAACACAGGGACTGACACAGCAACGAAACATATAATCAACTGTCCGCCATAAATCTGGTGTGCCGCGATACACTACTTGGCAAAAACTGACACAGTTTTTTTTAAACGCAGCATAGTCGCACGTAGCCGATCATCTACTGTCTAGTTGCCAGAATAATTAATCAGCTGATTCCGTGCTTTTGCAGCAGCTTAATTGTACAATATGGTGCCTACACGTAATATCCACTCAGGATGCATGCTGTCAACATTACTTTCGATTTTACAAAGCCACCTTGTGGTGTAGCAATGGCACAATGAGACAAAAAAGACCTTTTTGTAGCAGCATGGCGCAGGTTTTCCACCACTGCACTAAGGAGACATTTGGCAAATGCAATCTTATGCATTCCGTGCAGCTGGGTTGCAAACAACACAATGAAAAAAATATATATATATATATGGCTGAGGCAAGACGCACTTTTATTTGACACTAGTGGTAGCCGTGCAACTGGCTGACACAACGCGTTACAAAATTTTACAACTGCAATGTAGACGTCCAACTAGGTACTTGCTCAGTTGCTCATTGAGCCGCTGTGCCAACGACTGGTGTTTAAACAATATAAGTTTCTTATTTTTACCTTCCTCTTTGACTGCCACGACTGGTGAACTTTGCAAGCTTGCTCTCCCCTATGCCGCGGCCACAAAAATGCTGCACTGCCGCAATATTTGTTGACATCTCAGTAGCACTATTCCTTAGATTTGTGCGACTGTTCAAATGCCTTAATATTCGAACAGATATTGCTGCATTCCAATGCACTTTGATTGAACTTTAAATTGTTGAAAATTTCAAAGAAGTATTCAAAATGAACAAATATATGTATTATTCTGTATGTAGGCCCCTGTAAAGGTAGTTTCAGTGCAGTAAAGGGGTGCTAAGTCACGAAAGCACCTAAGGGGCCCTGCAACACTTTTTGAGCATGGTCAGAAAACCCTGCCGATCGGTAGTAGAAGCTACCGAGAGCACGCGCGCGAAATGTTACAGCGCAACACGCGAACTAGAATTCACAATGAATTATCTAAGTCAGCAAAAAATCGCTTTAGCTTCCCTCGACAAATGATAGAAAACCCTAAAAAATCACACGTAAATTGCCCATCTATCAGCCATTGGCTGATTTGAACATGGTGCACTCGATTGTTACAGAGAACGCCATGAAAGGCCGTCATTTGTCCCTGTGTGCACACGCGATCGCACTAAAAAAGCAGCGTATTCGAAGAAAAAAAAAGAAAAAAATGCTTGAGGTCACAAGGTGCACACGACGTTTTTTCTTTGCCCCTGCCACCCTTCCCTGCTTAGCTTCCTGCACTTTTGTCGGGACGGGGAAAGAAAGAATGCGATTGCAGTGTGTGACAAATTTTTGTAACTGCGCTCGTACCGAACGAATTCTTAAAATTTTTGCAGCGTCAAACTTGTGAAGTAATAATACGCTTTCCCAGTGAATTAATTCCATGATTACTCAAAAAGGTGCTTTAGGGCCCCTTTAAAGAAATTCCCATAACCGTAAAGCCCCACTGTAAGGTTAAATGAACATGTTACCCTCACATCGATTCATCATTTTTCAAGTTTAAAAGCTTGTTATACTGGCTTATATGGCCTATGTATAGGTATTACAATGTAACATATTTTGCAGTTTATCACTTGCATTGTACTGCAAGTCAAATCCTGTTAATATTCAAAGTTCCTTCCATTTTCTTTCACCAAGAAAAATGGCACCTGCTCAGACCTTGTTTCAACATTTAAAATACAATGTGCAGGTCATGACTAATATGCACAATTTTCTTTCAAACATGTGATATATGCTACTCGAATTCGATTTAAGATTGTTCGACCAAAATCACTCTTCACTTTGAATCTAAAATTTACTATTCGCACAATCCTACTATTCATATCATTTTGCGGTGCTTTCTAACATCAGTTCTAAATAATAGCCTAATTTTTATTATTCATACTGCTTAAATAGTTCATTCTTTAATGGTAGCATCATCAATGACAGTGGTACAACAGACCGAATAAATCATTAGGCTGCCGCACTTATATACAGCACATGGCAGCTAGTCATGGAGCAATCTACACATGTGTGCACTACGTGTTTAGTCTAGTAAGCTTCCTTGAGGTATACCCATGTGACAGCTGCATAAAATAATTATTTTAGGGAACTTTTATCTCTGGAAAGTGCTATGAGTGATGATCAAAAATTCGAGTAGTCTTTATAGCTGCACTGTGTCCAATGTTTTGGATTGAGCGCCGATTTAGGGACATTGATTATGTCAACTGTGAATCTTACATTTAGAGATACAATAAAACCTCTTTAATTTGAACTCGGTTATTTTGAAATCCAGCTTAATTTGAAGTAGTTCTGCAGTGCCATATTTTGCAATGTAAGTTAGAGCGGCAATTAGCACAAGTCCGGCTAATTCCAATACTTTGGGTGCAGTGTGCCCGATCCCAATCCCGATTTCGCCGCGAAACAGCGGGAACGACAGCCCATAAGAGCCACTAGGCAACGTACTGCTACGATACTACTAAGTGGCAACTTAAGCACGCCAGCCTTGATACTTTCAGCTCGAAAAATAAAATTGTAAACAAAAAAAAAAAACGGTCCCATAATTAACTAAGATGTGCGCTTGCGGAAACCAAAACATGCTTCACTGCGACACAGCAGTGACGCGTGAACAGCATCTCGCATGCTTCTCGCAACGGCGCGTCATGATTTACCCATTCGTTCTGAGAATATAAAGAAATCAGTAAAATACAGTCTGGGGGAATTCGCGATGTATGCAAACCTCAGAGGGCTGGTTGCTCCATCAACTTTCGCACTTGCATTGCTGGCGGAGTTCTTGCCTGCAATGCTTACTTCGAAAACTCTGTTTGAAAGCTTCGATTATTATGTGGGGTTTAACGTCCCAAAACCACCATACGATTATGAGAGATGCCGTAGTAGACGGCTCTGGGAATTTTGACCACATAAGGTTCTTTAACGTGCACCCAAATCTGAGCACGTGGGACTACAGCATTTCTGTCTCCATCGAAAATGCAGCCGCCACAGACGGGATTCCATCCCGCGACCTGTAGGTCAGCAGCCGAGTACCTTGGCCACCAGACCGTCGTGGCGGGGCTGTTCGATAGCTTCAATGAACATGTTCTCCAGCCAAAACACATCGCTAATTTCGTCACACTGTCCATTATTGAATTGTTCATTTTACTAGAATGGGTGAATGGTTGCATCATGAAGTGGTGACACAGCGAAGAGCAGGTGACATGCTGCCTGCGTGTCACTTCTGTGTTGCAGTGAAAATGTTTTGATTTTCGCAGGTGCAGATTTTAGTTGATCATGACAGTTTTTTTTTTTGTTGTTTGAGGTGAAACTGTGACCTGATACTGCTGCAAACATAACCCTTGGAGCCGCAAACTAGCCAGCACTGCAAACGGCCAGCCCTGATTACTTTGAATGATTTCAAATTTCTTGCATCTCACTTTTTGTATGTTCTGTTAATTCGAAAACTCGCTTAATTCGAAGGTTTCTCACGGTACCAGTGACTTCAAGTTAACGAGGTTTTACTGTATGTTTTGCACTTGTATATTTCAAACATGAGAGAAGGTTTAAACTGAATGTTTATGTGCAATGTTTGCAAGTACTCCTGAGATTAATCTTGACATTTATTGACTACACTGCCATTTTTGTACCAGAAAATAACCAAGCTGCAAATTAATCAGCTACTTCTCTATTATACCATGGTGGCATATTGTCACGTGCTACAAAAGGTCTTCAACTAGGAAGAACTGAGCCGGCGGGGAGACGCACCGAAAACTGGCAAGATGGCTGCTTCAATAATCAACAACTAGCCAGAGCACGCGCTGCCCCAGAACATCATCTTCCATTCTCGCGGGCAGCCATGGCTTGGGCTCGCCGTAGCTATCGACCAAGTGGCAATATATTTTCCTGTTCTACTCATGTCCATACCTGAAAGTGTGCTGGGCATGTACAGCTGTATCCAGTGGTGAGCAGGGGTCGGCAGGTGGCCCCATTGAGACAAGGCTGGCTACCACAAGCATCCACCAGGTGGCAGGAGAAGTGGACGTTGGCCAGTCGACGTAGCTGGGCATGGCCCGTGGGGCGCAGGTGCAGGGGCAGTGGCAGGCCGCCCACCCGAGCGTCATCCAGGCAGCCGACCAGGCCCATCACTGCAGGTGCCCCGCCTAGGTGCAGCTCATGGCCTTCAAGATTCAGCACATCATGGGGACCCGGCGCCGATCCTGAGCCTTTGTAATGTGCATCCACGGCAACCTGCGCGCTGCCTCCACGGTGCTCGAGGTGCAGAGCATGCCAGATGCCGTCGTCCACACGGCGGCCAGCCACATGCACCAGGCCTTCGCCACTACCGCAGTCAAAACGGTACTGGACATACCCACCGGATACCTGTAAATTCCGAATCACTTTGTGCTGCATCACTTATCGATACCATATGCTACATAAAAAGGGACAAACTCATTATTTCACGAATTTTACGAGACATTCTCCAAACAGCAAGCGTTGCATCCCACTGTTTATTCCCTTTGGCAGAAACTTTTACTTTCCGCCTGCAAATGCAATGCCACATCATTATGGCCACCTAAACAATAGTTTCAGAGCTAGAAAAGCATTTTGCAAACTGCTTTCCAAATTTTCTTATCACAACAAAACTTCACTTGAGCTTAGTTGATACATAACCCTGAAGTCAAAGTTGCAGTACAAACATTCAAGAAAGGCCTGCGTAGGGGTTAGTTGGTTATACATGGTTCACACGTCCTTCCTGTGCATCTTTTTTCATGTGCAATTCAACATTCAAGACACCTTTTGAGGAAAAAACACAATACACACTAGCCCTGGCTTGAATCCTGCTTGAATCCTACATATGTCGACCTATACATAAGCCCTAAGCAACCAACTGCACAAGCACTCCCATAAGATATTGACACGTGCGGTTCTTTTGGTTTACGAAGGAAGACGCTATCACTTTCTGTTAAGTGCAACGCAGGCCGCGTTTATCTTGTATGCCACTCTGGAACGCGTTACGACGCGTGTATAAAAACTGTTTGGCCCCGTTTTGCTGGGCACAAGTTCGCCCAATAAGCAGTTCGCCTGACACAACTCATAGCAACAGCGGCGTGAACAGTCGTCGGCCGACGGAAAAAAAAGAAAAAGACCCCCAGTGGCGCACTGCGCCGGCTTTTTATACACGCGTCGTAACGCGTTCCAAAGTGGCATACAAGATAAACGCGGCCTGCGTTGCGCTTAACAGAAAGTGATAGCGTCTTCCTTCGCAAACGAAAAGAACCGCACGTGTCAGTTTTTATACACGCGTCGTAACGCGTTCCAGAGTGGCATACAAGATAAACGCGGCCTGCGTTGCGCTTAACAGAAAGTGATAGCGTCTTCCTTCGTAAACCAAAAGAACCGCACGTGTCAATATAAAAAAAAAAAAAGAACAGGATGATAGCAAAAAAACATGAAACAAAATATTCAGACAAGGGCAGGAACAACAAAGTATCACTGACACAATATTGAACTCTTTTCACCACAAGAGAAGTTAATTCACATCCAAAAAATGAACTTCAATATCTAGACAGTTAGTAGGACAGAACGGATGAAGTAATGTGATTGGCATGGCACAAGTTGTTTTCAAGTAGAACTTTTTTAGCGCTAGTTGGTGCATATTTAAATGGAATGAATAACGCACAAATGAGACAGACACAAGAAGAGACATGAATGAACGCCTATTAACAACTTGATGTTAATAGGTGTTCGTCCTTGTCTCTTCTTGTGTCCGTCTTGTTTGCGCCTTATTCCTTCCATTAAACAAAGTGTTTTTGTTTATCTTTTCTTACTTTGTGGTAATGTCACAAGTGCTCTCTCTTGGCAGTAAACCTCTCCTGGCTTGCTGCTCTTTGCTCATGTGATAGACAAGAATGTACGCTAAAAACAGTTCTTGGCGAATCAATAGGTAGTTGGCATTACATGTGCATTATAATTTTTAAATGTAAAGCATTTCTTAGCTAAACATTTGTACCATTGTCCATTTGTGATGAATTATTAGTTTTGCCCAGCCACATACAGTTTTGCTACAAGACCTCAATGGCATTTCGTTTATAGGCATGTTCCTAAGATAGGATCTGTCCAGATATTTAGCTCCGAGCTAAGTGTTAAAAGTGGATCGTTTTCGTGCAAGCTGAGAAGTTGATTACACAGGGGTGTATAGGATAGCTAATGGTCGGGTATAATGTCGACATTATACCGACTACCGGCATAGTTCTTACACTATGCTCATAAAGGTCAGTTATATTGAGACATCATATCCTGTTAGCTGAATGTAACCGCCTTGATGCAACTTGGCTTATTAACAGTGCTCACTGTAACTGCAGAAGTGGTGATGAATGTCAATGTCACTTCCAACATGCTAGAGCAGCTATAGCTTCTGTTAGTGGTGAACAGTAAATAACAAAAAGTGCCCAACCAAATAACCAAATGCACAAATTCAATTGATGTTGCAGAGCTCCACTAACATTCTGACATGGCTCTGTTCCCCATCCAGTAGCTGCACAAAGCATGCAAGACCCTTTCACCCACTCCCATACTATGGCACCACTCGCTCATTGCATGCTTTCTATATGGAGCTTGCAGCTATCAACATGCACATTGTAATGATCGTATTAGAGGGCCCGTAAACTACCTGGAGATATAAATTTAGTTCTAGCATTGGTTGAGTCTACAACAAACACGTAACTGCAAGGATTTTGCAAAGAGGTGCCATAACGACAGAGTTACATGCACTAAGTTCTGTTTGTCGTCTCATCTCTCCTCCTGACCGCATGCTCTGCTTGACCGTATGAGGAGGAGGATAAAGACAAATAGGTTATTTACGTAGCTAACTTGATCAGATTTTCCGAGTGACGTTTTGAACAACGCTAGGGATACACAAAGACTTGGAGAAGAGCATGAGATTGCTATTTTGACAGTGCGGCATACCTGTGGCTCTTAACACTACTGCGTTTTGCATCATGATGATAGTTAGAACATGATGTGCATGTCTACTTGAAACGTTAAGAAAAATACAGAAAGTATAGACCATCCCCCCTGAAGGAAACCATAATGAGATGCAAAACAGCAGTGGTCACACGCCGTTGACCCGGCTGAAACGAACGTCGACGCGCAAACTGGAAGAACGGTTTAAAGTGAAGCACGGTTTAGCTTTTACTCAAGTAAATGTTTCTTTAAAACGCTAAGACACCGGAGGTGGGTTGGATTTCGTGTAGGTTTCATAGCAGATAAATAAGCCGTAAGAGTGAGTGTTTCCACTCAATGTGTGCTCGAACGTTGCGAGCGGTTGAGAGGGTGAAGTGGGAGAGATGACACGTAGCGAGCGGCGACAAGATAGGAAGAGAGTGATGTGAATGCGCGCACACTGCGAGGGAAGGCGTGACCTACTTGGCAACACCCCTAAAGCTGCAACCAGGAGAGCGTGGTGCGAACAGAGGGACAGCGATACACAGGCTAGGCAAAGAGCTGCTTCGCATCTGAAAAAAAATGGCAGCATATACACGGGGTGAATAATGGAGAGTGGGACGCAGCATCCGTCCGTCCATGCGTTCGTCTGTGTGACCGTCCGTGCGTCCATCTGCCCGTCCGTGCGTGCGTCTGTTCGTGCATCCGCACGTCCACCCGTGCGTCCGTTTTTGTGTTAGTCCATGCATCTGTCCCTGCGTCCGTCCATGCGTACATCCGAGCGTCTGTCCATGCATCTTTCTGTGTGTCCATTCGTCCATCTAGTCGACACTCCAAGTACCACCAGCTCGCATCTTTTCATCATATATTCCGCATATAGAAACACCGCCATTCAGCTGACATTCGAAGGACTAAACGAGAGGTGGCACACGCACACTTTCTTATGGCTTGCGCTTCGCGTCTACTTCCCACCTTTAACCACCTAGACTTCATGGAACGCACTAGTACACTGTATTCATGGCACTGCGGCCCAACGCTCGCTAAACCTTTCTAAAACCAAGGAGGTTACGCCCAGCGAGTACAACATCCCTGCGTTCGTCCATGCATCCGCCCCTGTGTCCGTCCATGCGTCCATCCGTTCGTGCAGCCATCTGTGCGTCCTTCCATGCATCTGTCTATGTGTTCGTTCGTCCATCTAGTCGACGCTCCAAGTACCACCATCTCACATCTTTTCATCATATATTGCGCATATAGAAGCACCGCCATCCAGCGGACATTCCAAGGACTAAACGAGAGGTGGCCCAAGCACACTTTTTTACGGCTTGTGCTTCGTGTCTACTTCCCACATTTAACCACCTCGAGTTCATGGTATATACTAGTTCACTATATTCATGGCACTGGGGCCCAGTACTCGCTAAACCTTTTTAAGATCAAGGAGGTTACGCCCAGCAAGTATAACGTAGCAACCCTTTCTCGTCAGATAGTGCTCAATGTACATTCCAATGGCTGTTAATGCAGAATGAGAGACAGGGGAATTCGGCTTTTAGTTAATGCGCATGCTGTGAATTTTTTATTGTTCAACAACGCACAGGAGAAATCTCCCACCAGCACCACCTTGCAGGTCAATGCGTAAGACACGTTACGCACTACTACGAGGGACGAATGGGTGCCACTTTAAGAAGCTTCGCCCCTAAAATTCAGCCAGTGCTGCTTGGCAGACACTGGTCAAATAGCAAGGCTGGTGGCATGCAACACGGTTGAATGGAGGGGAATGAACTGAGATGAAGTGGCGGGAGTAGCAGTGGGTGAGCTGTGGGAATAATGCAGAAGGAGGAGTAGCACATATTTTCAGTGCAATCTTCCTATAGAAAGTGGGTAAATCCCACAACGGGTATTTGCTTCAACCAAAGCATTACTAGGTGGATCGATGTATTTCTGTAAGCGTAATAGTGGAGAGCACATCATAAAGCCACCAGAAACATTGGATTAACTAGCGTCTTCTGGTGACCACGCTAGACAACATGTGGTCTGGCGCAATTCCTGTTTGAACACAGACAACAATGTTATCGAAACAAAATGCACCTGATGGTGTCATGATATTAATATTGTCACATCGCCTCAAAGGTCCAGGCGAGGTTTATTGATCGTAGAGCAGTAGGGCTCTTGGCAAAATATGTCGGTTAGGCTCTGTCTCGAAAAGGACAGCACGGGCACTACTTTTCTTCGGGACCTGTGCCTCTGGCAATGCATTTCAACCATTACTACAGGTGGCATTATTCTCCCTTTTGCTAAATAGGGCATTGCTTCGATGCTCAAGGAAAGTTGTAAGAAAAAAAGCAAAATAGAGATCATGCAGCTTGGACAATGCTCAGTCAATGAATGGTGAGGCAATGTCATCAACACAAATAAAAGAAAATGAACAATAGGTAAAATTATGG